GCCATCCCGGCGTGACTCAAGCTAATCAGTCTCCAGAATTCCAGGGGCGATTCAAGTTGCGGCTTCGTCGCGAATTGCACCGTCTCGGCAATGCCTGCGGCTTGGCAACGCTCACGATCATCGGTCCAAGCCTTTGGCACGTAGCGTTCCCGGTCGAGAAATGCGCTGCCTCCATCGCCCGCGTAGCACAGGAACACGCCGATCTGACTATTCTCGATGCGGCCTGCCGTGCCGCTGTATTGCCGCTGCACGCCGGCAGAATGCTCACCCTTCTTGACGAAGCCCGTCTCGTCCACGATCAGCACGGCATCGCGCTCGCCAAATTGCTCCACGACGTATTCGCGCAAGATGTCGCGGGCCGCATCGGCATCCCACTGTGCGCGCTCAAGAAGATGTTGTACGCCGTCCGGTGTGGCCTCGCCCATCCATTCCGCTAGTTGCCAACCATTCTTGCGCTCCACCGTACTTAGCAGCCCCTTCAGATATGCCAGCGACCGCTGCCGCGGCTCCGAGCGCCGAAACAAGCTGCTGAGCCGATCATGTAGCGCCTCGAGTTCGCTTTCCCACGCTTTCAAAACCGCCTTCATCGGCTTGTTATCACGTAGTAATACTAAGCGATTATTCTAGCCCAAAATAAGTATGGCTGTAGTATTGGGTTTCTCTCTACGAGGCTCAGTGTTTTGGCCAACGCAAAGGCCTCGAAAATGGCTTTTTTGGTTCGGCCAGTTGCATAGCCGTGGCTCCATGGTTTGTCCGCAGCGTGTAGGCGGCTTTTGATGAAGTTGAAGATGTCTGCCGAGGTCACAGCAGACAGCAGTTGGTTGTTGGTGTACTCGACGAACCGGTTCCAGATGGAAAGGTTCGTGCTCCGGATCTTATAGCCAGCCGACGACAGGTGCTCTTCGTACTGATGAAATTGGCCTGGCCCAGTTGGGCTTGCAAGTTCTTGGGGATGGGGCGGATGAACTTGTATCCGTAGTCGTCCTTGCGCATGTAGAGGGGCATGTCAGCTTCCTGTGCTGACCGAACCTTGCGCTGCCGTTGTGTACCAGTTAGGGGCGAAAACTCCCCTATATATCGGTAAATTAATGACTTGGCTTGAATTGGCGGAAGCGGTGAGATTCGAACTCACGGACGGTTGCCCGTCGCTGGTTTTCAAGACCAGTGCCTTAAACCGCTCGGCCACGCTTCCCGGAAGCAGGTTATTGTAGCCGATTTGCAGCGCGTTCCGAAAGCCAGCTTGCGCCCGTACGCGCATCGCACGTTGCCGAAGCTGGGTGCACGCGCCGTTTCGCGCAGCCCGTGTATCGGTTGCGTGCCGCTTCATGCATCGTTTTTTAGAAAAAGTGCCTGCAGCTCGTTCAGAAAGCGCTGCCCAAGCTGCGTCGGTGCGATGCTTGCGTGATCGCGGCGAATCAAGCCACGGCGTTCCGCTTGTGCGAGGGCGGGCTCGATCGACGTCATCGTCAGCCCGGTGCGCTCGATGAACCGGTGCACCGGGAAACCCTCCGTCAGGCGCAGTGCATTGAGCATGAACTCGAACGGCAGGTCGTGTGCACCGACTTCGTGCTGCTCCTGCACCGGCGCGCCTGCGGCGGTTTGCGCCAAATACGTGGCCGGGTGTTTGTAGCGGACCTGTCGCACGATTCGCTCCGGAAAGGACAGTTTCGAATGCGCACCGGCGCCGATGCCCAGGTAGCCGCCGCACCGCCCGCACGTCAGG